CTGAGGATCCCCCCCCACACTCGCCTTCGAGGAACTACCTCCGCACCCAACCCTGTGGGATCAGCCGCCTCCGCCACCTCCGCCACCTCCGCCACCCCCACTCCGGGGCCCGGCGGGTGCGGGCAGCAGGGCACAGGGCCAGCGGATGGCCACCCGGATAAGGCCCACCCGGCTGCGTCACCCGCATCGCAGCCACCCACCATACCACCAACGCCGCCGACAGCACACGCCGTATCACAAAATACGACCTCAACACCGCCTCCGCAGCCCGTCAGCCCGTCAGCGCTAGCAGCAGGGGCACTCGTAGCCGCCGTCAGCGGCGCCGTCAGCGGCGCCACGTCACCTAGGTGTCTTGCGGCGTCGCCGGGTGCGCGGACGGCGGGTGGCGGCAGCGGCGGCGGCGGCGCAGCATCTGGACGTGCGTCAGGTGCAGCCGTACATGGATCCGGAGCGGCTCCAACTGTCGGACCACTTGTACGGCTCGGCGGAGGCGATGCTCTGGAACCGGTGCCGCTGGGGTGGGTGTTGCGGAGCGGAACTGGAACGGGCGGCAGTAGCGGCGGCGGCGGCGGCGTCACATCCCCGACGGCACGGGCTAAAGGCCTGAGCGCTTGGGACACGGGGGGTTGCGGCGGCGGCGGCGGCGACGGCGGCGGCGGTCACCTTGGTGGTGGTGGTGGTGGTGATGTGGGCGAGGAGGGTGATGTCGGCGAACCCAATTTGTGGCTGCTGGTGTACAGAGACCGACTGGTGAGTACGAACATTGGCAGGCTGTAGCTAGAACGGGTGGGGCGGGGCGCGTACGACAGGGTGAAGTACATGCGCCCCGCTGGCTGCTGTCGTCTTATCAGCCCCGCAATACCGTTGGATAGCACATTTCCCCCAAACCCCTCTGCCTGGTGTGTCTCTCTCCCCCCCATTTTCCCCCTCCCCATCCGTACACACACATGCCCTCGAAAACCCCCCGCACCCCAGGTCGGTTGGCGGTGTGTGCTGGCTGTGTTTCGGTGGCTCCAGTCCCACGGCTGCCCGGAGGCCGTGTCGGGCTCCCTGCACCGGCAGCAGCTGCTGCTGGCGCTGAGGTACCTGCACCTCAACCTGGGCCTTACAAGCGCCGCAGCTGCAGCCGCCGTCGCAGCCACCGCTACTGCCACGGCGGCAGCTGCCACTGAGAATCCTGGCGGCGGCGGCGGCGGCAGTGGTGGTGGTGGTAGCGGTAACGGTAACCCCGGCTGCTTGTCCTCCTTCCCAGACTTCTTAACTCCGTCCTCACCGTCATCGTCACCGTCGTCGTCTTTGTCGCCTTCGGTCCGGTCTGCGGAGTCATTGGCGGCTGAGCTACTGCTGGACATACCTGATATTGTAGGTGTAGGTGTAAGGGGGGGGGACGTACGGGTCGTGTGTGCGCGTGTGTGTGTATGTGTGTGTGTATCTACCGGGGTTTCGAGACTGACATGTGGTTTACCTCGTGGATGTGGATGTGGATGTGGGTGTGGGGGGAGACACGCGCTGTGTACGGCGTTCGTACCTATATGCTCGAAACAGCAAATGCTGTGTATGACAGACGCACTTCCGGACGCACGCCACACATCCCCCCCCCGGCCCCCCCCCCGCACGCGCACCTTCCCTCCCCTGATGCCGTACGTACGTCATACACATCACCGTCACCCCTTACTCCCCATCATCACCCTCTCTATCCGCGCAGGTTCCCTGCCTTCTCTCCCTGCTCACGAACGACAGCGCCCTCGTGGTGGAGCTGGCGGCGGCGGCACTGGCGGACTTGCTGGCGATGGACCAAGAAAAACTGGATAGGGAAAGGGCCGCCGCCGCAGCCGCCGCCGCCGCGGCAGCAGCAGAAAAGAATGGTGGCAGTAGCAGTAGCGGCAATAGGAAGGGGGGCGCAGGAGCCGGCGGCAGCGGCGGCATGACGGGAAGGAATGGCAGCTGTAGCAGCAGTAGCGGCAGTAGCGGCAGTAGCCGGGCGGCGAAGGTGGTTCGTTCGCGTCGGGACGAGCCGGGTATCGCGGTACGGAGGGTTTCGGAGGCGGGGTAGGGGACAAAACACAGACACGCCAACACGTACCCGGCCGTACTCGCGGCCTCAACAGGAACGATACCGGATGGGAACGGTAAGGAGGGGCTAGCAGACGTCACACAAGTTTAAAAGTTTATGAAGCCGCGCGGAAATAAAAACAGGTCATCACACCAATGAGGTGAGCCCACCACCACTACCACCACCACCACCACCACCACTGCCATCGCACTGTCACGAGGTTCATCAATCCCGTCCAGTGTTTCCAACTCCTAACCCTAACTACCAACTCCTAACTACCAACTCCGCACCCTTGGACTCTGCAAACACGCTTTATACATATCCGGCATACCAACAAACCTACATACACACGTACATACACAGCAACTGGTGCTTCTCTCAAGCAACAGCGGAAGAGCCATCGCTGCGCAGTTGCGTGACGGCATGCGGTCGCCGGGTATCGTACGGCAAATTACACGCTGTTTGGTGAACCTATGGGTGACTGTGCCGGTGCCGCGAGTGCTACAGCCGCTGCCGGCGTCGACATCAACAGCAGTAGCAGCAGCAGCAGTACGATACCCTGGGCGCGGCTGGTCGGCGCCATCCCTGGAGGTGAGGGCGGACGTGTGTGTGTGTGTGTGGGGGGGGGGGGGTAATGGCGGGGGATGCGGCGTGGGAGGGGAGACGGTTATGGGTTGGTTAGTTGGCTGAGTTAGTTGAGTCTGTTAGGGAGGAGATGGTGACCCTCGATAGGACA